TTCAGGGACTGTGCAAGTAATTATTTTTTGATCAAAGATAATGCAAATAAACACGAGAAGATAAAAGATAAACTTTGAAAAGTTTTTACACCAAAACCTTCTGTCTGCTCTCTCTGACTCTCTGGAATGTTTGGCCAACATTTTTACCCAAAGTTTGAATTCAATAGCAACCTCAGGGTTAATTCAGGTTTTTCAGGCTTGTTCAGTATAGACTCTCCCACTATTTTTGTAATTTACATTGTGACAATGATCACAAAATATTCCACCCTTAAAGCAGGAAATCTAAGTGTAATAAATTGCTTTTCTCAAGATGTGTCTGTTCTGCAGCTGTTGTATTTAAGGACGAATTACAGTTTAGGGTTGCACAGTTTACCGGAACCATGGTAGTATTGTGATACTATGGCTCCAAAATACTGACGGTGCCACTGTAGTTTGTAAACAGTTGTATCATCATTAATGGTTTATCTACAATACACAATGTTGCATGTGGAAAAGTCACTAAGGGCCTACTCACACTATGCCATCCGTACCGTGACCAGGCCCGTTTCCCGGATCGTTTGAGAAGTGTGAGTGCGCTGAATCGGGCTCAAGCACGGTTCACTTGGCTGGCCCTGGCCCGGTTGGAAGAGGTGTGCCTGAGCGCGGTTCACTTGTGTGTGAGTGCAAATCGCGCCAAAGTCCGAAAATGAAAGCGAGACGTGACTTTTAAGGGGCTGTTTCATATAGATTTATTAATCATTCTTACTGTTTAGTGAACGCAAACTGCCGTAGATTATTAAAGACGCAAACTCCTCACTTCACGACAGCTGCGCGGCTTCAGCAGACCTCCTCATTCCTGCAGCACGAGAGCTTTATAATTGTTTATGAGTGTCAAAAGTGGCAGATCTGTTCGGCGAAATATCTGACTGCGTGTCCCCGCATCCCTAAGGACTGTTTGGCGAAATATTTGATGGCATATCAAACGACTGAAACAATATAACTAGAGAAATCTCCACTGTGCTGCTGAGTAAGAGAGCGCTTCTCACTGAACAGCGCAGCAGCGTGTGAGCGCGGGCCGTCGGGGGAGACGGGAGGGGGGACAAGCGTGCTTTGGCCCAATTCGAGACAACTGTACCTAGTGTGAGTACGGCCTAAAATGCTCAAACGTTTGTGCAACAATAGACTATTTTATTTGAAAAGTCTGTAGAGCACTTAAAGGTTGCAAAACTGTGTAGAATTTACGGCTTTTATGGTAACCTATTGCATGTTTTCTAACCTTTCAGTTCAAATGCACATCTGAATTGGTTCATTTCTGTTCCTGTTAATATAATCTAGTTACAACAACCACGACAATGTTAATCGATGAAACAAAAATTGATTCCTTGATTCAATTATTCATTTTCTTGTCGGCTTAGTCCCTTTATTAATTCAGGGTCGCCACAGTCGAATGAACCGCCAACTTATCCAGCACATTTTTACGCAGCGGATGCCCTTCCAGCCGCAACCCATCTCTGGGAAACATTCACACACACATTCATACACTACAGACAATTTAGCTTACCCAATTCACCTGAACTGCATGTCTTTGGACTGTGGGGGAAACCGGAGCACACGGATGAAACCCACCCGAATGCAGGGAGAACATGCAAACTCCACACAGAAACGCCAACTGAGCCGAGGTTCGAACCAGCGACCTTCTTGCTGTGAGGCGACAGCACCACCTACTACGCCACTGCGTCACCCTACAAAAATAGATTAAAACCCCAAAATAGAAGAAGGAAACATTAGCCCCTTTCACACAGTGATACCTGTAAATATCCGGAAAATTTCCAGAACGACTTTACTGGTAAATTAAAAAAAACGGTGTTCACACTTTTTCTGGAAAAGACCGTTCACACATCCGGGGCCGGAGTGGGACTCCTTTTTGGGACATCTTTTTCGAGGATACAGCTGCTTTAGAACTTCAGATGTTCAACAGTATTATATGTCTTAACAATAAAAATAAAAAAAATTAATAAGTAAATTACTCCGATGAGGTTCAAACCCGGGTCGGCGGGGTTGACATGCTGACCTCTAGACCACAACAGCCTTTCTCAGTGTAGTGGCTTATCTAATAGATAAAAAAGCGGAGCTGCGGCAAAATAATGGATAAAAAGTGTGAGGCTGTGGTCAAATAAATAAATAAACTAAAAAAGAGCGACTGCTGAGAGCAACAGAGTCTGGAGCTAGGGACACCGGCCCTCACGGCCAAAAAACGGACAGGCCTACCGGGAATTCTCCCGGTCCTCCCAATTAGCCAATCCAGGCCTGCACACAGCCATTTCAAAATACCGGTAAATTCTGACATCATTAACCAGAAATAACCACTAAACGGCTTGTATTTGTAAAGATTTGACTACATTACAACCTCTGTGGATGGATCAGTGTTGTGAACAACTTTGTTGAAAGCATAGAGAAACACTTTCACATGTCGAGATGTTCATAATATATGTGTGTGTTGGTTCTTTCTAGAAAATTTCCGGTAATTTTCCGAAAAGGTCTGTATGTGTGAAAGGGTCTAATGATAAAACTAATTTTTGACCACTTCATATGGCCTAATTTTGATGGAAAAATGCTCTTTTGTAACAAATTTCATTTGGTATAATTTGTATCTTCTGTTTAACATATGTTTTGTTGGTCAGACAGCTGAAAGCTTCAATCATCCTGGTATAGTTTTTGGTGGAGTTTATGAGCTCACAGAACTGGGTGCACCTCTGTAAGGATCTAGTGCACTCAGACACGGCTCCAAACGAATCGACACTGTTTTTCAGCCTTCATAAAGCACATAAACACAGCTATTCTCTCTATAAAATCCATGGTAGGCATTTAGCAACAAAGCTAGAGTCACCGGACAGACAGAAGCCCTTCCCATCATGCGAATCTGCATCTGTTGTGAAGTGAATTGGACATGCGAATGAAGTGAGTAAACTCAAAATGTTTACACGTCTATTTACGTGCGAATAGCGCAATTGATCCGCACTTGCCGTGTCTGGTGTGAACACTGCATTAGGTCTTATTATGCGGCCTCTGTCGCCATCTTGTGGCGAAACGTCAACCGTCACTTTCTTTGGTCTGCTCAGACAGGCTGTTGGCTGTCGATGCACTTTAAAATTTTAAAATAGGCACAATCCTTATAAATAAACCGCATAGCTGCAATCTAAACAACTACATTCTCGATTAAAAAAGCCTCAAAAGCACATTATGTTGTCCAACAGCAGCAATATTTGTCAAACTGTAGAGTGTCTCTGCTTGTCACTGTATGTGGGCGGAGTAATACACAAGGGTGATGGGTGAAGAGGCCGGACGAGTGCTTTTTTTTGCAGAATATCACAAGGCTTAATATAATTATTCTTGCTTAATACAAGAACATAATATTTAGATTACAAAGTTTTTGACATTTGGGAATATTCTGCTTTATTACTATAGATAAAAAGTCTAGAACTTTCTACCAACGGACACTTCCATAAGCAATGCTATAGAATTCCTGTCTCTTTATTGCATTTTACGCATTAATCAGGAATATTTGGATTGACTTTGTGAAGTAATTCTACATTTTTATTAATTATTATTAATACTTTAGAACAGCATTTCAATTCTCACATGCATAGGAAAATCTAAACAGCCCAACAGAAATCTTCATGTGATGTGCCAAACAAATGACACTTGATAGTTTTTTGTTACCTAATACAGTGACCTTCATACATTTTTAAGTGGTTTAGGTGTTACAAAGGTTTCGGGGGTCAGATGATCACACACCTCAACTGTGCTTGATCTCTCTCTAGGGTTTAAACTGGTCAGACTTGGCAGAGAAAAAAGTCCAGAGTCCCTTCCGCCCTGAACTGCGGGATGAGCTGGATGTGGGAAACTTTGCAGAGGAGTTTACAGGAATGGAGCCGGTTTATTCCCCTGCCAGCACACCGCCTAGTACAGACCGTCTGTTTCAGGTACTCCCACACAGAGAAACACGTATCCATGTGTCCCTTTCATGAAGACAAATACAAAACATTAAACCACCATCTCCTGCCACAGCCCTCCATTATTAATTTTAACAGATAGTGTAACTTCACACTTTCAAGGTACTGCTCAGTTACTGATAACTCAAATGAGACACACCTCTGTCACAAACACACTGGTCCTTGAAGTTTTTTTTTTCCTTTTGAAAACCAACATGGAAACCTGAAAAATGAAATTCTTGTTTATGTGTATGTTTGTATGTGTGTCTGTATGTTTGTTTGTTTTATGTTTTGTTATTGTAATGTATTTACTTTATTTTGTAATAATTTCTATTTATTTTGTTTTAATAAATTTGTATTTATATTAATTATTATTTAAAAAAATATTTTATTTTTGATTAATTAATTTATTTTTATTATTTTAATTTTGTATTAAATTTTATTAATTTTTTGTTTAATTTAATCTTATTATTATTATTGTATTAATGTATTATTATTTTTTATTAATATTGTTTTATTTTTATTATTTTTATTTAATTTTTAATTTAATATTTTTATTATTATTATTATTATTATTTATTTAATTTTTATTTATTTTAATTTAATTATATTTTTTATATAGCACATTTTTTCAACACAGCCTTAATTTAATTGAATTAAATTTTATTTAAATTTATTTAATTTATGTTATTATTATTTTCTTTTTCATTTTATTGTATTTAATACAAATTTTCATTAATTAATTGTATTTTTATTAATTTTATTTTTATTAATTTTATTTATTTTTAATTTAATTAAGTTTTATTTGATTGTTCATATAGCACATTTTTACAACACAGCATTGCCCAAAATGCTGAACATCATCAAAACTAATTGAGATGACAAATCACACAGCACAAAAACAACTACTCCATTAATACTCCAGTCTTCAGTGTCACATGATCTGAAGTTCATTTTACTATGGCGATTTGTTGCTCAAGAAATCGTTCAGATCATCATCAGTGTCATATTTTCAATGTCGGTGTTTATTAATTGTGTGGAAACCATAACAAGCATTCAAAGTATAAATTTTTTTTTCTACAAGAACTCTAATTAATTAATGTGACGTTAAATAAAGATTTCATCATCATTTAATCACCCTTTCAAACCTTGGAGTTTCTTTCTTCTGGTAAACACAAAAGATGTTTTGAAAAATGTTGGAAACCTGTAACCATTGTATTTTTCATAGTATCAAGTAACCACTTGAGAGAGAGATGAAATAGTGAGCAAATTTTCATTTTTGGGTGATATTAATTTTAAAGACTATTAATGTGACAAATAACTAAATATTTTATTTTAAATAAATGTTTTTATTTGTTTAATCTAGACTCCTGAAAAGGATTTCAAAATATGAAACGCAAAAAACAAACAAACAAACAAACTACTGAGCACCAATAGTAATTTATTTTGAACCGATCAGCAATTAGAATGTAGTAAGAATGAATTTTATTTTGATCAAATAAATGCAGCTTTTTGACTGGATACTACCTTCATTTTTGTATATATTTTTCCCCCCAGCATGTCCCCTTTTGGCAAAAGTAAACTCTTTTATTCTGTCTTTTCTTCCTCTCAGGGCTACTCTTTCGTGGCTCCTTCGATCTTATTCAATAAGAATGTGGTGATGGCGGATGTTTTGGATGCTCATGTTAACGTTGACCGGCCTGGTTCTGCTACAGTCCAGCGTAGTGCAATGCTGAAGGTGAACAACTGCTTCTGTAAAAATGATTAAATAAATGAAAAAAGGTTAAAGTTAGAATTATTAGCCCCCCTTTGAATTTTATTTTTAAAATATTTCCAAATAATGTTTAACAGAGCAAGGTTTTACAGTATGTCTGATAATATTTTTTTCTTCTGGAGAAAGTCCTATTTGTTTTATTTTATTTATTTTTTTTAAACACCATTTTATGGACAACATTATTAGCCCCTTTAAGCTATATATTTTTTGGTAGTCTACAGAACAAACCATCGTTAAACAGTAACTTGCCTAATAACCCTAACCTGCCTAGTTATTGCTGCCTAGTTATTATATACCTGCCCTAGAAATTGGGGAAAAAAATAAACGGGCTAATAATTCTGACTTGAACTTTATATATATATATATATATATATATATACTATATATATATATATACTCATTTTATACTAGAAAAAAGGTTAAAGAGTGATGTTTTTTCTCTCTTTTTTTCAGGAGTCTCAGTTTTTCCAGCACTATGAGCTGTGTCTGCAGGGGTCTCCACTGGGTGAGGGCAGTTTCTCAGTCTGCAGGAAGTGCAGACACAAGCAGAGCGGTCAGGAATACGCTGTGAAAATCGTTAGTCGAAGGTAGAGATGTCATGAACATTTATACTGAAGTATTTATGTGTGCAAAGCGTCTTTTTTGTGAGAAGTGCTTTTCATATGATATGTGAGCGACCTGTGCAGCTTTATTGTAGACATTTACTCGAGCGAGCATAACGTCGACTGAAACTGTCAAACACCACGCCCACCAAAAGGGTACTCTTGCTATTGGAAAGGCAAGCCAGATAACATATCCCCACAGCTGAATAAACCGCCAACTTATCCTGCTTATGTTTTACACAGCGGATGCCCTCCAGCTGCAACCCAGTACTGGGAAACACCCATACACTCTCACATTCACACTTATACACTACAGCCAATTTAGTTCATTCAATTCACCTATAGTGCATGTGTTTGGACTGTGGGGGAAAACGGAGCAGATGGAGGAAACCCACGCCAACTCGGGGAGAACATGCAAACTCTACACAAAAATGCCAACTGGCCAAGCCTTACCTTGCTGTAAGGTGACAGTGCTTACCACTTAGCCACCGATATATATATATATAAGAGTATAATATATATATATTCTTCAAAGATTTGTCCAATTAGAAAACATTTTTGCTGAGTGTGTTCTGTACTGGTACCTTGCTGATTTAGGCCTGTTGTGAACTGCTGACTCACAGAGGTTTTTTTGCATTCTTCATATTCTGTCTGGTGGATGGTGCAATGAACATTTTCATAAAAGGGACTGTATATTCTCCCAAATAGTTTCTTAGAGGCAGTGTTAAAGGGTCATGAAATACCAAAACACATTTTTTGAGCTGTTGACAGTCGTATATGTGTCCCACACTGCTAAAAACACTATTAGGACACCTATCTTTCACTAAAAAGTGTAAATTGGTTGTTTTTGCGTTATTTCAAGCAAATTCGTACTTCCGCTTTGAAACGAATTTTTGAAGCTGCGTCACGGCCATGACATAATAGCGTGTATTCCAGCGTGCAGACTGTGCCAGAGTGAGTCTTATTACATCTTACAGTGTGTTACATTAATGCATGAGTAAGGCTTGGTTCAAACCAATCAGCGCGCTCTATTGTGCAACTTCATTAATATTCATTACTGTCACAGTGTTTTCACGACAGAGACGCCACGTTGTGTTGGCAAAACAAGCGTGAAGTGTTGCTTTTATAGTTTGCTGCAGTTAAGTTTTATGTTTTCATTTTCTCTCTGTGAGAGCTCAGACTCACGTGTGGATTACAGTGTACGCGACGCGTGACAACAGTAACTTACGTGTCTAAGGAGGATTATTGTTTAATTGAGAGCTGTTCTCATCTGCAAACACTGAGATCCGGATTCGCTTTAGTCTCCTCTTAATAAAGACGCGGCTTTAGTTGCTGGTGATTGTCCTGTCTACAGATTTGGTAAGTGAGCGACCAGTGCTCTTTGTTAATTCAGTTCGTATTTTATTCGTATCAAACAAACTATTGCAACGAGTGTAAACAAGTTAGCACTAACAGTTACAACCAAACTATAACCTCGTGTTGGATTTAGTGACCGGAATAACACACGCGGCTTTCTGACGCTACCTGCGTACCTGTGTTCATCTAAGTTTCTGGGAAATGCTGAGTTTTTTTTCTCTCATTCGCCGTGCGGTATCAAACATTGCATGAAAAATACACGCTTAGAGCAGCTCCTCGAATCAAATATCACGTTTGTCGGGAGGGGCATGAATGAATTCCCTGAATGAAAGAGCCAAACTGCAGTTAAAGTCCACCATTTAATAATCTGGCCAAAAATTCGACTACAGATGTCCATGTAAACACAGTCACATTGTCCGCTGTGGTTGTGTGTTTTGACTCTGAAATTCAGCGCGCCCAAATAGACACTCCCACACCAAGACTCTTTTCTTCCTCCGACACTCCCCCCTAAACAGAGCTGGACACGCCCACTTTTCTGACTTTTTCCAAAGTAGAGGTGTGAAAACACCCTACTGAAATGAGGGGGTTTCATGACCCTTTAAGTGCATATTTCATTTCTAACCTTGTTAGATGTGTTCATGTAAAGTTAAATTATATCTTTCAAATGCTGTTTTTTTTTTCTTCTCAGCAGTGTGGACGTTTAAGCCGCAGATATGTCTGGCATTTTTATAATATTTGTAATTTAGAATGTATAGAATATTTAGAATGTTTAATATGGCGCTGTGGTAGGGTTGTCACGATACTGGTATTCGGCACCAATCCATACTGTAATTTTAAAAACGTTAATGTCCCGCTAACATTTGAGCGCTGTTGAGCACTATCTTAAACACCGCTGATTTGCCATTGTGTTCATGTGCTCAACAGAAATGACTGTGATTAGCTGTATTGGTCATCAGTTTACCAAACTCACTGTTGTTTACTGAGTGTAACTACAGATACAGAGACACCGGAGTTTTAAAGTCTCATCGATCAGCTGGTTTTTCTATAAGCTGACATACGAGCGATCTGCTGATAAATCGCAGCTTTAAAACGCTCCGGTGTCCCCGTATCTTAAGTTACACTCAGTAAACTGTGGTAAGTTTGTAGAACTGATGACATTCACAGTCATTTCTGTTGAGCCTGTGAACATAACAGCGAATCAGCTCTGTTTATGAACGCGATCAACAGCGTTCAAATGTTGAGCCTCCTTTCCACTGCACACAACAAAGGAAGTCATTTCCAATGGAGAGTAGTCCGGGAGCTGCGTGGAGCTCCGATCATCTTCGTATGCAGAAAATTCGGATCCGAACTGAGCTGAGGATCCGTTGAAATATTTAAACTCCTGCGACCAGACCGTATGCCACCGGCTGACCGGATGTGATGTATACCAGTGTTGTCCAAGCAGGTCCGTGCGCGCGAGATGTGAAATAGTAGTTTATTTATTTTATTTATTTTTTTATTAGAAAAAGTCTATATAAACAAAAACATTTCTTTTCATAAATGTAAATAATAAAGTAATAAAAATATAATTTTTTATGTTGTCTCTACATTCCCTCCAACCGATCTACCATGTCACATCAATATTTGCTGTTTTCATTTTGTTGTAGCATGTTAGTTTATTTAAATATGTGTTAAAACACAGCTGTATGTTGCTCTGAGATATAACAGATAGTTCACCCAAAAATAGAAATTCTTAATTTACATAATTTGTGTAATATGATGAAGAACATATTTGGAAGAATGTTGGAAACCGGTAGCCATTGATTTTCATAGTATGTTTTTTTATGTCTATTAGTGTCAGTGGTTACCAATTTCACTTGATCATTATTAATATGTTTTGATTTTTTGGGTGAATTATCCCTTTAACATTCATAATACGTAAATTCAGTCAATATGTGAACTCCTCTGTTTGTAAACTCAAGTATTTTTGATAGTTTTCTTTGCAAAGGGAGTGACAAATATCACCAAAACAACACAATTAAATTGTTAACATAGTAAACATCACACATGCCTACTCATGGTCTTTTTGCTGTTGTAGGATGGAGGCCATGACTCAGAGAGAGATCGCAGCTCTACGCCAGTGTGAATCTCACCCAAACATTGTCACGCTCCATGAGGTCTATACTGATCAGGTATGCCTTAAAGGAACACTCCACTTTTTTTTAGAAAATAGGTGAATTTTACAACTCACTTAGAGTTAAGCATTTGAGTTTGACCATTTTTTAAAATCCTTTCAGTTGATCTCTGCATGTGGAATTTTTAACGTGATACATTTGAGTGTGCAGCATTAATTCATGAGCCCTTTAAGTTATATTAGCATTATAGCATTGTGTCTGCTGTAACCATGGTATGGCAGCAGCATTGATTATTAGATCAATGCAAGTGTATAGTTGGTAGTGATATCGGCCTAGAGTTAAACTTTAAATAGAAAAATCATATCATTTTTCGAGTGAGATGCTAATGATCTAACTCGATTCAATGATCTATGCTTGGCTAAGCTAAAAGTGCTGCCACCAGACACCGAGATCGGCTCAATGGATTATAAAATAGTAAAACTCAACTGTTTAACTCTATGGGATTTCTGAAATTACCCTATTTTTTAAAAAAGTGCAGTGTTCCTTAATAATACAAACATAGCTAGCTGTAAAAATAAAAGGCGTTCTTCTGGTTATTTTCATAATCTATGTACTTATTTTTCTTTTTTGCTACTGTTTCCATTTCATTTATTTCCATGTTCTGTGTTCGGTCTCTTTTAGTACCATACGTATCTGGTAATGGAGATGTTGCGTGGTGGAGAGCTGTTAGAGCGAATCAGGAAAAGGAAGATGTTTGCAGAATGGGAGGCCAGTCAGCTGATGAAGAGCCTGGTGTCTGCGGTCAGCTACATGCATGAGGCTGGAGTTGTGCACCGAGACCTCAAACCGGAGGTACTGAGAGAGACTCACATGCATGGAATAGAGTTTTATTAAAGGGATAGTTCACACAAACAATAGGGATGTAACGGTATCAGAATTTCACGGTACGGTAATACCTCGGTATGAATGTCACGGTACGGTATTTATTGAATCATTTACAGGAAAAAACAAAACTTATGAAAATACTCCAAAAAAGTGCCAAAAGTGTCAATGACATACAAATTAGCCATCTATCTGTAAGCTTTGAAACAGGAACTTCAATTTTAATAACAAAAAAATATTAAACCATGTAAAAAAATAAAGTTTCAATTTAGTATTGTTGAAAACTCATCACATTCAACATTTAATCACTCACTCACTTAGATAGAGATGGGTTTAAAGGAAAATGATCAAATAAATATAATCTGGTAAAAGCTGGTATCTCTGGGCATTTACAATGTCCCCTGCAACAGAAAAAAACCCTCTCATTTGGGACTGAGGTTTTTGGGACAAGAGAGATATGACTTGACCCAGGTTGACAGCAGTGGGTAACGTTGTGCATTGTCTTTCCCCCACTTGAGAGGACAAACCATGAGTCTCATGTCTGCATCAATCTGAAAAGTGTGCTGACAACACCGCTATTCAGTACGCGCGCGACAACACAGCTGATAAGAACTTGCGCGACAACACCGCTATTCAGTACGCGTGCGGCGTCAACACCCGCTTTAGAGTTTTCCAGCTCTTTTTCATCCCGCTTCTAGCAGCACACTCCATTTCCGCATTACTGGATCTGTAGCGACAATAGACCGCAAGGGATGATGGTCAAGCATGGGCTGATGGGAATTGTAGTTTTCGCTACCTCCCGTTCGCTTCATTCGCCTGAGCAAATTTTCTCAGAAGGCCTATAGTTTTACCGAGTCATGCGACTACGGTAATATTGAAAAAAATTAATATTGCGGTATGACGGTATTTACAATACCGTTACATCCCTAACAAACAATGAAAGAAATTTCTCACCATTTACTCAAATTCAAAACTTTTGCGAATATCTTTCTTCTGTTTAACAAATAACAAGATATCTGAAGAATACTAGAAACCAAAAGCCATTGACTTCCATAGTAGGAACCAAAAATACTACAGAAGTCAATGGGTGCTGCTTTACAACTTCCTTTAAGGTCTTCAATTCTCAAATATGTGATAGAACACATTGGTTTAGTCTTTTAAACAGCTGAATATTGATCGTATTTAGGGATGCACCGATATGGATTTTTTGGCCGATACCGATAACCGATAATTCTTCAGACTTGGAGGCCAATAGCTGATATATATAGGCCGATAATTATAAATATTTCAAAAATGTTATATTTTTTTACAGCAAACTTCATAAAAAGCAGAAACTCTGCTCTTTTGAACTGAATAGCCTATACTCAAAGCAAAAAAGCTATGATTTCAAAATGTTATATTCAATTATATATAACCTATATTTACTATTTCACACAAATCAGCATGCAAAAAATACATTATTTCATTTTCTTCATAGCAAACTGACTGTTGCATAAAAATTAAAAAGGTTAAATAACAAAATGGGATTTAATTAACAAGCAAGTTAAATATATTTTAAATAAGATGAAAATTAAAGAGCTAAGGACTAAAACCAGCTCAAATGTTCTTGAATAAAACGGGTTACAGTAATGTACATGTGTACAAATATGTCATGTCCGAAAAAGCCTTTTTTAGAGGTGTTTTGGCAGCTCTGAGCCACTGTACAAGTGATAAGCTAAATACAGAATGTATTATTTTAGAAAATGCAACATAAATTCATCGTATTTGGCGTTTTAGATTATTTTGAACACATGTAGCATCAATGCTTCTGTGTTCGTTCTTGCTGTCAATCGCGGGGAAAATGACCTGTGAGGGCGCAGATTTGCCCTCGGATTTTGATACAAACCTGATCATTGAGCTCAGATGACTTTATGACAAACACAGAGCAGAATATAAAGACAGAACGTGTGGCCCGTATGCTGGATTCAGTAACCGGTGCACCTAGGCTCTCCCCTGTTGATCTGTGAAGGCTCAAGATCTATGTGTGTGTGAAGGCTGTCAGATCAATGTGTGTGCACGCGTGTGGTGAAAGCTCTCGCGCGCTCCTTATAATCAATATGAATATTCCGATCAAACTGAATACAATCATCAACAACACATGGCAAGCAACGCGTTGATAATACCAAATAATTATATTAGATTAAAAACCTTCCGTAAAGTTTTTGTTTAGCGCGTCACGTGTGCAGGTCAGTTTGGTGTGTGTGTATGTGTGTGTGAAGCGAAGAGGGAGAGACAGAAAAGAGGAGCGCTTTTTTCGGGTCCTTGTTCATTCACCGGCTGCAACTAAAAGAATTAACCCCGAAACTAATATTATTCGGCCCTGGAGCAATAAGTAAATCTCCCTGCTATCTCTAACACAACAAACAGACAGAGCAGGAAAGGCTTTCATATGTAATATTTTTTCCTGAGGCGATTTGAAGCAAAATACACAATGGCACTCAATCAAACATATCTACAATGATAAGGATAATGGTTACTTACCGAGTTATTAACGCACAGCAATACCACGTGAAGAAAGCACGGACTTTGAAGGAATAATCAGTGTGTGGAGAGATCCATAAACAAGTCTGAACATGTTCCGCCGACGCGTGCGCAGCAACAATTACGTAATTTATTGGCTTAAAGATATCGGCCTAATTTAGACATCGGATCGATAACGATAATCTTAAAAATAGCATTTATCGGCCGATAACAATATGGCCTCCAATATATCGTGCATCCCTAATCGTATTATTTGTTATATGATGGCTAATGGGTGTTGCTGCTGTTGCTAGAAGAGATACAGCTGCGATTGGAAGTTACGGATAAGTATTTATATTATTTACAACAGGAGTTCTCAAACTCGGTCCTGAAGGTCCGGTGTCCTGCAAAGTTTAGTTTCAACTCCAATCAGACACACCTGGGCTAACTAATCAAGCTCATACTAGGCTTGCCAGAAACATCTTTGCAGGTGTGTTGAGGCAAGTTGGAGCTAAAATCTGCAGGACACCGGACCTCCAGGACCGAGTTTGAGAATCTCTGATTTATAAAAGATGGGCATTAATTGTAAATATAATTAATGTTTAATTTAATAAATAATATAAATACTTGTAGTTAACTTTCGATCGCTGCTGTTTTATGAAGGTTAGCAACTGTTTATCTGGGAGAGAAGTAGAGAAAATATTCTAGTAGCATAAACAGTGTGCATCTTTCGTGAAGCACATCATCCAGTTTTCTTCATCATCCAGGCTTCTTGATGGGATGAAATTAAGTTTGCTATTGCGCCATCCAGTGGACACAAATGGAACAGCAATATATGCAGCTCACAGAATCATCTCGCGAGCCACATTAAATTCGTTTGCGGGCCTGTTCCAGCCCGCGGGCCGTACGTTTGACACCCCTGATCTAAATGAATGAAATATTCCCCAATAGAGCTATTCAGTTTATCTGATGAAATCATATTCATATCGCAATATATATAGCACAAAAACTAAATATCGCAATGTCAGATTTTTTCAATATTGTGCAACCCTAATGTGTATTTATAAATCTTTATTTTTGACAACAATTTGTCGACGTTTGAAAAGCACTGCAAACAGCAAACTGAACACAAATAAGCTCAATGAAATAAACGCAAATACAACAACTAAATGGGCATCTTCACTGCCTTTTTTAATCAATTCTCTGTCTAAATGTATAAAAGGATTCTGTCATGTGTTGAGAAAGGCATTATGCTCACATCTGTTGCTCCACTAAGTGGCCACGCTCTAGTCAGTTCTCTCATTCGCCTCTCCCGTCAGCTGTGTGATCATCACTCATAGTTTGCTTGATTTCACTCGGTGATATTATACATTCGGCATTCACTCTGTGCTCAGCTCTCCATGTGCTGATTGGTCTCCGTGCTAGGAAATTTAAATGTGGCTTCTTACATGCAGGTAAAAGCACTGAGGAAAAGTGCACTAGACTGCCGACATTAATCTTCATCAGGCAACTTTTATTCATTTTTTTATTTATTTATTTTCGCAAAAATGAAATCTTTCAGGTGTAGTTTAGAGCAGCTGTCTCATGATGCGATACGCATTGCCTGTTTCAATACATTGTGATGCTTCATAATTGGATCAAGGGTGCTAAATATGCTCATGAAGTCAAATGGCTGTAACGCAGAACCTCTTGTGGTTTATTATGTTAATGCATTGCGGTGTTGTTGTCTTTTTCACCTCCACCTGCAGAACGTGCTGTTCGCTGATGAGTCGGATGAGTCTGTGTTGAAGGTTATTGACTTTGGCTTTGCACGGTTGTTTCCGGCGGGGAGCGGGAGTGCCCCTCTGCAGACCCCCTGCTTTACATTGCAGTACGCAGCGCCTGAGCTCTTCCACAGCTCGGGATATGACCAGGCGTGTGACCTCTGGAGCCTTGGGGTCATATTGGTAAGTGTGTGTGTATCAAGGTTATTTTAGTAAAGGATGACTAAAACTATTGGTCCGTATCTGTCAGTTGACAAAGTGTTGGTGAGTTGTCTAAAACTGTTAGTCATTGACTAAAACTCTTGGTGAGTTGACAAACTATTGGTTAGTTGATAAAATAGTTTCGGCCAATTGACTAGAACTTGGTCAGCTGACTAAAACTTTTGATCAGTTGACTAAAACTATTGGTCAGTCAACTAAAACTGTTGGACAGTTGACTAAAACTTGGTCAGTTGAATAAAACTTGGTCAGTTGGTTAAAACTATTGGTCAGTTGACAAACTATTGGTCAGTCGACTAAAACTGTTGGACAATTGACTAAAACTATTGGTCAGTTGAATAAAACTTGGTCAGTTGAATAAAACTGTTGGTCAGTCGACTAAAACTATTGATCAGTTTACTAAAACTATTGGTCAGTTGACTAAAACTGTTGGTCAGTCGACTAAACTTGGTCAGTTGACCAAAACTATTGATTAGTTGACTAAAACTATTGGTCAGTCGACTAAAACCGTTGGTCAGTTGACTAAAACTTGATCAGTTGACCAAAACTATTGATTAGTTTACTAAAACTATTGGTCAGTTGACTAAAACTGTTGGTCAGTTGAATAAAACTTGCTCAGTTGACTAAAACTGTTGTTCAGTTGAATAAAACTGTTGTTCAGTTGAATAAAACTGTTGGTCAGTCGACTAAAACTTTTGATCAGTTGACTAAAACTGTTAGTCAGTTGACTAAAACTATTGATCAGTTGACTAAAACTATTGATCAGTTGACTAAAACTGTTGCTCAGTTGACTAAAACTGTTGTTCAGTTGAATAAAACTGTTGGTCAGTCGACTAAAACTTTTGATCAGTTGACTAAAACTGTTAGTCAGTTGACTAAAACTATTGATCAGTTGACTAAAACTATTGATCAGTTGACTAAAACTATTGATCAGTTGACTAAAACTGTTGCTCAGTTGACTAAAACTGTTGTTCAGTTGAATAAAACTGTTGGTCAGTCGACTAAAACTTTTGATCAGTTGACTAAAACTGTTAGTCAGTCGACTAAAACTATTGATCAGTTGACTAAAACTATTGATCAGTTGACTAAAACTATTGATCAGTTGACTAAAACTGTTGCTCAGTTGACTAAAACTGTTGCTCAGTTGAATAAAACTGTTGGTCAGTCGACTAAAACTTTTGATCAGTTGACTAAAACTGTTAGTCAGTTGACTAAAACTATTGATCAGTTGACTAAAACTATTGATCAGTTGACTAAAACTATTGATCAGTTGACTAAAACTGTTGGTCAGTTGAATAAAACGGTTGGTCAGTCGACTAAAACTTTTGATCAGTTGACTAAAACTGTTGGTCAGTTGACTAAAACCTGGTCAGTTCAGCAAAACTATTGATTAGTTGACTAAAACTATTAGTCAGTCGACTAAAACTATTGGTCAGTTGATTCAAAAATTTGACCAGTTGACTAAACTTGGTCAGTTGATTAAAACCTGGTCAGTTGATTAAAACTCTTGATCACTTGACTAAAACTATCGGTCAGTCGAATAAAACTATATTAATTAAAAAAAAAAAAAAAAAAAAAAATATATATATATATATATATATATATATATATATATATATATATATATATATATATATATATATATATATATATATATATATATATTTAAACAAATACTGATACAGGTAGTGTTTTTCTTCTTCTTAGTACACCATGCTCTCTGGCCAAGTTCCATTCCAGAGTGAGAAAAAAGTTATGACATCATCGCACGCTGCCGACATCATGCACAAGATCAAAGAGGGCGATTTCTCATTGGATGGAGAAGCCTGGAAGGGCGTGTCCGAGGAGGCCAAAGATCTAGTGAGAGGTACTGATAGTTTACTTTGGTTACTGGTTTTCGCAGTGCTTATACTCTGTATATAGGTAGGTTTTTTTAGATCAAAAATATTAGATGAGTACATATTTAAATATCTAATAATGTTTATAAAGAGTTTGGGAACCATAGTTTTTTTCTAGTTAAAGGACAGTGCATTCAAATATATGAATTCATACAGCAATTATATAATCTCATGACATTGGAGTTTGTGTAAAACTGCAGATAATTTTACACCGGTAGGGATGTTACAGGCAAAATTCAATTCTGTCAGGAGGAGTGGGCCAAAATTCCTTCAAATCATTGTGAGGAGCTTGTGGAAGGATACTCAAAGCATTTGACCAAAGTTATACAGTTATACCAAAATACCAAGGAAATGTATGTAAACTTCTGACTGTATACAGTGTATTTAAACTTGTGGTTTCAACTTCATCTAATCCATACATTTACACATAAAAATGTAAACTGTCTAAAAAATCACTCTTTAGTAAGACATGTCATACTCTTTTTTTTTTTTTTTTTCAAACATGTGTTTAGATATCCACGTAAAATAAACTTAATTCATACATTTAAACCAGAGTTTTCTTTTAAAAAGGCCCTGCCGTTATCAAGCGCAATGAATCTTGAGACCTCAAAGGATCTACCTTCGCCGCGCCGCGATCACGCAAAGCTCTTAAAATGCTTCCTTCGGAGGATGCAGTCTTTGAAATGAGACACAGCTACAGATAAAGGGACACTGGAGCATTTTAAAGCCAGTCGATTCATCAGAATTGTCAGCTCATAGACAGATCCTGTCCCCGTATCTGTGTTTGCACTTTATAAACAGCGGTAAAGCGCAATGAACTGATGACCTTCACAGCCAATCACTGTCAATTCTGTGAGCATGTAAACACAAGTCAGCAGTCTTTACGAACGCACTCAACAGTGCTTAAATGTTAGCAGGAAATGGACGTTTTTACAATTTCAGTACCAAAAGGTACCAAAATTCAGTATTGTGACAACATTAATCAGTACCGATAGTCCATACTTTTGACAACCTTAGCTGGAGACCCTAGCTTAGTTTTTTTTTTTTTAGCTTATTTTACCTCCAGTACTTCTAAATCAGTTGGCAGTTTCTATGATTGGTTATTATTATCCTTCCATTTCCTGAATGTCCATTGCGTTCAGATGAATGTGATTGATTTAAATCAGGCTTAGGATTGAGGATTTACTCAGAAAAGCCCTTGTTTTACTAGTTTATGAAGCCTTCTGCAACTGGTGATCAGCCACAGTAACTGAATTGCAGTTTTTATGGTTTCAGGCCACTGAGACCTGTGAAATTTACTTGCGTTCACCCAATACTCCCGAGTCTCTATTGATTATTACCCTGAAATAGCTGCAAAATTCGTTTTAATACTTTTATAGCTCTCTGAAGCTTTTTGATGAGTGATTCCTGACCCAGTCGTCGGGGACCCGCAGGCTCTCAAACACATTTCAGTCCAATTTCAGCACAAGTGCTTGTTATTATAGCTGTCATCTGATCATCTAGATTGAGATGGATGAGCTTCGGTGCCCTGGTGGACGGAAAGAGTGCGATGGTCCCTGAGGACGGCTGGTTTAGTGGCTGAAGGATCCTCATGCCGGCAGCCTCCAAATTGGCTTCCAATGCTAGCTATCTGACGTTTTATCTCCCTCTTCACGCTCGCAGGTTTGCTAACCGTGGATCCTGAGCGGCGGCTGAAGCTCTCGGCTCTGAAGGAGAACGCCTGGCTTCAGGGAGGCGGCGTCATGTCCTCGACCCCGCTCTGCACCCCTGATGTTCTGGAGTCCACCGGTCCCACCGTCCGCACTTATGTTAATGCCACCTACAAGGTCCAGTATTTGCATTTTAGACCGTTTATCTGCTATATTGAGTGTGTACACTGCAAAAAAGGCTTTTCTTGCTTTAGTTTTTGAAGTGCTTTTATTCCAAATGTCTCAAAATTCTTAAATTCAGAAGCATTTTCTAGACAATTAAAAAACATTGGGTCTCATTCACTAGCCATGCGTATGCACAAAATGAAATATGTTCACAAATGCATGAAATATGTTCACAAATAAATCATGATTCATTAAAACTTTTGCACTTAAAATTATTTTAAATGTACAAAAAACTGGTAAGACATGTATGAAATAATCATGTACTTCCGGAACCTTAAAGCACTCATCGTTCTGTTTCGGTGCCATAATCGTGCCTTCTTAATTTATAATTTGTGCTCTTATAATTTTCCCCAAACAAGTGATGCTTTGCGGAAAGCCTTTATATGACGCTAGTTTGAGTGTGTATTAGGGCTGTGCAATTAATCGAAAATCCAATTTCGATTTCGATTATGGCTTTTAACGATTATGAAAAACCATTAATCGAGATAAACGATTATTCCATTATTTACCGTCCCCTTTCCAGTTGTCCTCACTTGTTGCTCTTAAAAGCGCGAAAGACGGTCTGCACTTGGTCTCATTCGCACATTGCGACGAGCAGAGAGCGCACACATCTAAAGTCATTAACGTGAGCGCTTTAATGTTCAAATAGGTGTCAAAACGCAGTGTTTAGTGACTATTCAAATTAACCCATATTTGTGTAATATACAAACGAGTTGAGAATCAAAAGACGCGTGAAAGCAAAAACAATAAAATGACAATATCATGATTAATAAAACAACGAGAAAATCCCTCTCTGCTTTTGACTGAAGGACTTTTGTAGCTAAAGTGTTTTTCTTACAGTAAAGATGCTTTAAGCAGTTTGTTTCATATTATTATTTTAGTGTATTTATTTCTCTTTCCTTTGCAGGGAGGAAAATAATATATGCAGTTGAAGTCAGAATTATTTTATTATACTCAACCCTTTTCCTCCCCAATTTCTGTTTAATGGAAAGAAGTTTTTTTATCAACACATTTCTAAACATAATAGTTTTAATTACTCATTTCTAATAACTGATTAATTTTATATTTGCTATGATGACAGTACATTATATTTTACTAGATATTTTTTTTAAATACAAACATTCAAATTCAAAGTGTAATTCAAAGGCTTATTTAGGGTAATTAGGCAAGTCATTGTATAACAGTAGTTTCTTCTGCAGACAATCAAAAATATATTGCCTAAAGGGGCTAATAATATTGACCTTAAAAGAGGTTTCAAAATATTTAAATCTGCTTTTACTCTAGCCAAAACAAAACAAATAAGCCTTTCTCCAGAAGAAAAAAAAGAGGAAATACTGTTAAAATTCGTTGCTCTGCTAAACATAATTTGGCAAATATTTATTTTAAAAAAATTCTCATGAGCGCTAATAATTTTGACTTCAACTAATAATCGTTTGGAATAATTGTGATTACAATTATGACCAAAATAATCGTGATTATGATTTTTACCAAAATCGAGCAGCTCTAGTATGTATTATGCAAATGACTAAACTTGAGCACGCAGAAGCTAATTTAGAACAAAGCTGAACACACCAACTTCACTAACAGAAGAACACGTTTAAGAAGTTTTGTGAATTAGGTGTGAAAATAAATATGCAAGATAAGGTAAGTTTATTTATATAGCACATTTCATACACAGTTGCTATTCAAAGTGCTTTACATAAACAAGAATAAAAAAGACAAGTATGAGAAAAAAAACAATACAAATGTTAAAAAAACAGATTAAAATGTGTTAAAACAGGTTATAAAAAAATGAAAAGAAAAGAAAGACATAATAGTGTGATCTGTCGGACGTAGCACAGTGTTCATTCAGTAAAGGCACAGCTAAACACATGTGTTTTCAGTCTTGATTTGAATGTACCTAATGTTGGAGCACATCTGATCATTTCTGGAAGCTGATTCCAGCAGCGGAGGCCGTAGTAGCTGAAAGCCGATTCACCCTGCTTTGACCAAACTCTTGAAATTTTAGTTTATTTGATCCTAAAGATCTGAGTGATCTGTTAGGTTTGTATTCAGTCAGCATATCTGTAATGTATTGAGCCCCTAGGCCATTTAGTGGTTTATAGACCAGTAATGATACTTTAAAATCTATTCTGAATGTAACTGGGAGCCAGTGTAAAGAACTGAAGACAGGTGTGATGTGCTCTGATTTCCTGGTTCTGGTCAGAACCAGAACTTTACACCATTACACAGAACATTACACAGAACAAAAACATACACCATTATTAGTAAACGAGATCCATTGTCAATTTTTCGGCAATAATATATAATTTTTTTATTATTATTATTTTAAGAGTTTGTCATCTTAAAATAAGGAAAATACAAGATCAATTAATTTTGATTCATTATTTCTGAAAACAATTATGATATTTGGACTAGAAACAAAGGTTTAAGAGAGAAAATATTTTTTTTGTAGTGTATTGAAGTCTTGTCATTGATCTCAGTTGTAAGAGCAACAAATAATAACTTGACTTTTATTTGATTATTTGGAAAAGTGGCAGAAGGTTGATTTTTCTGATGAATCATCTGTTGAACTGCGTCCTAATCATCACAAATGCTGTAAAAGACCTACTGGAAGCCGCATGGACCCAAGATTCTGACAGAAATCAGTCAAGTTTGGTGAAGGAAAAGTCATGGTTTGGGTCTTACTTCAGCCTCCACATCAACGTTCCTGAAAACTAAGAAGGTCAAGGTGCTCCAGCATTGGCCAGCCCAATCACCAGATATTAACATTATTAAGCATGTCTGGGGTAAGATGGAAGAGGAGGCATTGAAGATAAATCCAAAGAATCTTGATGAACTCTGGGAGTCCTGCAAGAACGCTTTCTTTGCCGTTCCAGATGACTTTATTAATCGGTTATTGGAGCCATTGCAGAGATGTATGGATGCAGTCCTCCAAGCTCATGGGAGTCGGACACAATATTCATTCTTTTTCTACTGCAGCATGACTTTATATTCTATACTGGACATTATTTCTGTTCAGTAAGACTTATGTCTAAGCAAAGTCAGACCTTCCTGTCCTAATTAAACAGTTAAAAATCAAGGTCATCTTTTATTTTGGTAAAATAAGCGTAATCTAGAGGATTTGCCTTTAATCTAAGCCACTTCTGATGCTAAATGGTCAAGTTATTATTTGTTGTTCCTATAGCTTGAATAATCGACAAGACTTTTGTCAGGTAGTGTATTGTTGGGGCCAGTCACATCATTCACACCGAATCCAATGTGCACTTTTCCATTATTTTTCTATGTAAACAAGCTTGACGGACTTAAGAGTCTTTGTAATCTGTATTGTTTCCCACAGGCGTTCAACCGGGGGAAGCGTGAGGGTTTTTTCCTTAAAAGTGTCGACAACGCGCCGCTAGCAAAACGGCGCAAGATGAAAATGACCAGTACTGGCGTGGAGACCAGACGCAGCTCGTCTTCCTCCTCTTCCTCCTCGTCCTCATCCGCTTCCCATTCCAAGACGCAGAATTGCCAATCTCTGAATCCACACGAGGACCCCAAACTGTGATTTTGCCTGACTGAAAAGCTGCCTTGATGCGGTGAGAGAATGTATCCCAAAAGCATTTACAGGACCTATAGAAAAGACCTTGATACGACAACACGTTTATTGAAGTCTCCAAGACGAAAGCCCTGAACAGTCCGTCTTTTGGATTTCCAAATCATTTTGGAGGATTTGTAATCATGATGGCTCTCTGTAAATACAATGCCAAGGAAATGATCTACATTATAAAAGAAAACATGTTTCCATTTTTATATATATATATACACAAATATATATATCATTTTAGACTGTAGAGATTTTAATGAATGTAAAAATGCTTGATCATGTGGTGGGCGTCCACATGCTTTTAGACAGGTCTTGAACTGCAGAAACACGTGAAACTGAGATCAGGGAAAGCGGGGATATGAGGGAATTGTGGGCAAGAAAGCCACAAGAGAGCAAAGCCATATGTGAGAATTAAGAGTGGACGTCTATTTTAAAGATCCACCGAGCAAAGCTTTATGTGAATCGTGTACAGGCTATTTGCATATCACTACTTTCAGAAGTTTTCTCGATGTTTGCATGGCTGTAGGATTTTAAACCTTTTACGATTTTCAAAGTTAAGCTGTAAAGTCAGACCTCACCAGTTACAGTTCAAGTCTTGAGGATGTCGACACTTTTGGGTGAATCTCACAAAGTAATGTCAGGCGTATTTCTCCTTAAAATCCCCCCCAAAGAACAGCGCAAACTCTCTTTTGGCATTTAAAACTACTCTGTCTTCATTTACTAAAGCTGCCCACTGAAACCGTAGCACTGAAAAGGCATGGGCAATGTGTTGCTTTACTTGCTGAATTCCTCTTTCAGATACAAACTTTGAAGAATTCATGCAAGTTGATTTACTAAAGTAATTTTGCAGCAGTTAACAGTGGTCAGTTTGGTTTTTACACCATTTTTAATACCCAAAAAAGCTTGTCTTAACCCAGTTGTGTCCTTAGTAGATTACCAAACCCTGATCCTCACCATCATCAGCTGTTTTTTGCGACCTGACGAATGCTGCTTTATGCGCTGTGTTGGATGTTATAGAAGTGAGCTGCTGTGATTTTTCTGCCAAGAATTTGCACAGTTTTATGCTTTTGCGCTAATTTACAGTTTCGCACTCGTGCTCCACTTGTACCTACAATTGTATTTTAATAAAAAATAAAAGATAGATGATAGTTGCATATAAAAAAGCAAAATTTTTTTGCCTTTTAAAGGGTTAGTTCACCCAAAAATGAAAACTCACAGCCATGTAGTTCCAGTTAATTACTCACACCCATGTAGTTGTAATCCCCTGAGCTCTTCATTTGCCTTTGAAGATATTTTAGATGAAATCCTGAAGCTCTCTCATCCTCTATAGAATTCCGAGATGTTCAAAGCCTATACAGGAACCAAAAACATTGTCAAAATACTCCTTGTTCAAGTGTAATTATACAAAGCTCCTAGAACACTCTTGATGACTATGTTCACCTGTGTCTTGTCTATAAGTGTCATATTGGCCAAAGTAAATGCGAACCCTAATCTGATGTCAATGATATAGACCATTTTGAGGGATGTAAACAATAACAACGGTCCTAATGTATTTCCTGTTTTACATTTTTAATTTCCGTAGCTTCCAAGAATTCAAAAAGGTCAACCTATTGATAAATGATGTTCTGAGAACTGTTTTAACGTTAAGTTATGATTGAATTGTCTCTTATTACAGTCATTATAGTTTAACAACAAGAAGGAAATGTTCATGGGCCAATGACATCACCACATTGAAATGATCCTGATGCAAAAGGGTAAATTTTACAGGGTTTTATTTGCTACAAAAGAGTTCTTAGAGATTCGTATGATTACAGTTCAACCTCTAAAGTCCCATTGAATGTTTTGAGAACATCTTTGGCACCTTTGGAAGCCCTTGCTGTCTATGGAGGCTGAGAGAGCTCCAGGATTTCATCTAAACTATCTTAATTTGTGTTCCTGAGGATGATAGTAAAGATGATAGGCCATAGCAAATGCGAACTCTAATCTGATGTGAACGATTTAGGACAAAAATAATTTCTTACAGGGGTTATTTTGCTGCAAAAATGTTCTTAGAGCTTCGTATGATTACAGTTCAACCACTGAAGTCCCATTGAATGTGTTGAAAACATTTTTGGCTCTTTTTTTGGACTTTAAACATTTCAGGACCCTCATTGTCTATGGAGGCTGAGAGAGCTGCAGGATTTCATCTAAAATATCTTAATTTGTGTTCCTGAAGATGATAGTAAAGATGATAGGCCATAGTAAATGCGAACTCTAATTTCACCTGAACGATATAGGACAAAAAAAAAGCATTTTTACAGGGGTTTTTTTGCTACAAAAGTGTTCTTAGAGCTTCGTATGATTGTCGTTGAACCACGGAAGTCACATTGAATGTTTTGAGAACATATTTGACTCCTTTCTTTTGCCCTTAAAACATCTCAGGACCCTTGTTGTCTACGGAGGCTGAGAGAGCTCCAGGATTTCATCTAAACTATCTTAATTTGTGTTCCTGGGGATGATAGTAAAGATGATAGGCCATAGCAAATGCGAACTCTAATCTGATGTTAACGATTTAGGACAGAAATTATTTGTTACAGGGGTTATTTTGCTGCAAAAATGTTCTTAGAGCTTCCGATGATTACAGTTCAACCACTGAAGTCCCATTGAATGTTTCGAAAACATTTTTGGCTCTTTTTTTTGGACTTTAATTGTCTCCAAACCATTGCTGTCTATGGAGGCTGAGAGAGCTCCAGGATTTCATCAAAAATAGTAAAGATGATAGGCCATAGTAAATGCGAACTATAATCTGATGTAAACAATATATGACAAGAATAATTTCTTACACGTTTTTTTTTGCTACAAAAGTGTTCTTAGAGCTTCGTATGATTACAGTTCAACCGCTTGAAGAACTATTGAATGTTTTGAAAACATTTTTGGCTCTTTTTTTTGGACTTTAAACATCTCAGGACCCTCGTTGTCTATGGTGGCTGAGAGAGCTCCAGGATTTCATCTAAAATATTTTCATTTCTGTTATTGAAGATGATAGTAAAGATGATTAGAGGCCATAGTAAATGCAAACTCTAATTTGGCGTGAACAATATAGGACAAAAAAGTATTTTTACAGAGTTTATTTGCTACAAAAGTGTTCTTAGAGCTTCGTATGATTACAGTTCAACCACTGAATTCATACTGAATGTTTTGAGAACATCTTTGGCTCCATTTTTTGGACTTGAAATATCTCGGAACCCTCACTGTCTATGGATTCTGAGAGAGCTCCAGGATTTCATCTAAAATATCTTAATTTGGGTTCCTGAAGATGAACAAAGATCTCAGGAGATTGAAACATGAACACGGCGGACAGTATTTATTATCTATTATTTATTTATTTATATATCTATTATATATCTAAATAATTTTTTGAGTGAACTAACCCTTTTACGACATTGCAATTCCACAAAACGAGTTCTCTTTTGAGGCTTTTGAAGAGAAATATACCTGAGACATTCCTTCACAATTTTCTGTGAGATTCACCGCTGTTTTTCTGCCTCTGTGTTTTTATTGCTTGAAGTGTGGAGATCACGTTATATATACTGCTTCTCTAGTTTACTTGACTGAGATTTTGGATCACCACATGAGCCGATGGCTTTCAAAACGAAGCCTGGTTTGCCGTTATTTTATCTCCGACTTTTATCGGTGTACTTGAAACCCGACATCCACTGCCTGTTCAACTCGACTGTAAGGGCTGAGCTTCACCAGACAGCAATCAATCCCTCACATTCAAAGGGCTTTCGCTAATCACACCTCCAAAACGCTGTAATCGAGTGTCCCTCTTGCACTGTGAGAGAAGCTGGCAGTGGCATCCCTTCCTATATTGCTCTTTTTGTTTTATATGAACATCTTCACAGCCATTAGTCTTGCAATATTTCGATGTTTTAGTGTCGAGTTTTTCTGCTGTACGTGCTGTGTTTAAATCGACCAAACAACATTTAGCATTCAGACTGGGCGGTGGAGTTGACGGTTTTATTAAGACGCAAGCAGGTGTCGAAGTACCAGTAAAACACCTCCGGCTATGTTATATAAACTACGCTTTTACTTTTAAGAGGTGTGACGCTGGGAGGTATGAACAATTTAATGGTCAGACTGATTTTTTTTATTGTTGGAATATTATAATCGTTTGTTTGTGCCAAAATAATCAGTTAATGGAGGATATTATCGTATGTAATACAGGTTTGCACATGAGATGCACTAGTTTTTTCTTTTTTTAAATGCCTTTGTCGTTCACAAGCGATGCTTCGATCTGCTTTTCATCGATGAAATGGTTTCAGAACAAAATCGGAATCTCTGAGGGGTTTGGATATTTTTGGATGTGATTAGCAGTTACGTCATACGGCTTTTCAAGGGATGATGTAACATTGAATACACTGATTTTACACTATCATTTTTAGGCAGTTTTTTTTTGTCGCACAAAACTTGTGTCAATGTCAATGTGTTTTGGGCTTTAAAAACAGTAATTTTTTTATTTATTTCTTTATACTTGCTCTTTGTATCTTTATTTACAGTGTTATGGCTTTCTGATTAACGTAGTTTAGTTTCGTTTGTCTCTGTTGACTTTCGTCAGATAGAACAAGTCGTCTGCTCTTATATGATCGTGTGCACTGTGGAAGTTCTAGAAAATGTACAATATTTGATTGCCGAATTTTAATAGATATTATTTGAATTTTACCGTTCAAGGGTGAGCTTGCTGTGTCCGAGTGTGTTTTTGTTAGGTTTCTGATTTGCATGTTTTGTTTTACGTTTTTTTCCCCTCAATCCTTCTTGATAAATGTCGTTCTGTCGAAAAAAAAAAAAAAAGTTTTGTAATTAAAAACAGCATCATAGAGCGGAAATGAAATACACTGTTAAACAAATTGAGGTGCATTGTTGTGCGTTAAGAACATTTGCTGAATCCAAAGCATAAAATATAAAAGTCTATTCCACTCATTTTTTTCCCCTTTCTCAATTTTGTAATATGTGTTTCTTTGTTATGATGCAAATACGGCTGCATGATACTGGGAAAATGTGCGATACTGTTGTTGAGTAACGTCACATATAACGACATTTCTTCTGATACAAGAAATAAGCAGACCTATTATTCATTAATTTTCTCTTCTCAGTCCCTTTGTTAATCTGGGGTTGCCATAGCGGAATGAACCGCCAACTTATCCAGGATATGTTTTACATAGGTGCAACTCATCTATGGGAAACATCCATACACACTCATTCACACTACGGTTAATTTAGCCTACCCAATTCACCTGTACCGCATGTCTTTGGACTGTGGGGGAAACCGGAGCACCCGGAGGAAACCCACGCGAACGCAGGGAGAACATGCAAACTCCACATAGAAACAAAACTGACCTAGCTGGGGCTCGAACCAGCGACCTTCTTGCTGTGAGGCGACACCACTACATACTGCGCCACTGCATCGCCCAGACCTATTATGCCCCTTTAAAACAAGTTTCCAGCCTGATGTCACGAGGATACGTAATTATTTTATGTTTTGTCAGTTAAGTGGGTAATTCGTACAAATTCACATGAGATCAGTCGTACAAAAATGTACGATTTCAAAAAGTAGGCGTGGCAATCAACCACACCTCTAAACCCAATCGTCGTTGGAGGATAAGTAAATCACACTAAATTTTATGAATGAGATTGTATGAATTTATCCGCTTGTTAAGTGGTGACGTGTTTGTGACGTATGTATACTGTTTCCGGGCCCAAGCCGCCATTCATTTGAGTGGAGAAATCATTCGTTTATGATCGCGTTTTATTCCTATCACACATTAAAGTAAATTTTACATAAAGTCATAGTGTACACTACAATCTCTGGGCTTGCTGCATAACAAATACCAAAAATTTAGCAATTTATAAAAAATTAATCACTTCTGGGCATCGGATATTAGGCATGGACATATATACTGCGGTCGTGATTTTCGAACGTATTAAATCGCTTTGTAAACGTTTATAATTACCATTTCATGAGTCTCCCCATACAGTTGAATAGAGCGCTTGGACCCGGAAGCCGCTTCGCGTGACGTCACACTTAACAAGCGGATAAGAAAAATGCTGCGGTCACACTAGAGTTTGGGTGTGCGAAATTCTGTTGTATGGCGCTGCGAAAAGAGACGGGATTAAACAAGATGATTAGACATTTAAAAAAGCGAGTGATTGTTCCATATTTTAAACTTCTATCCAAAAAGGTCATGTTTTGATTCGTGATTGGTCTCACGCAGTCAAATGATGCGATTGCGCAGGTCCTATGCTAATAAGGAAGAGATGATCAGTAATGGATGGGACTTTCCCCCTCTGATGACACATACAAAGGGAGAATGTCAATCAAAGTGTTTCTGAAGTGTGAAGCTTAATACATTTTTAACATTAAAAGTTGGTCATATTCACAGACAACTGTGTTTAAACCCCTTATAAAAGTGATTTTTGCCTATTTTATTATTAGACTAAACTATTATTAAACTATTTTATTATTATTGCCCCAAAAGTCCCCCCCGCCACAAAAAAAAAAAAAATTTTAAAAACACCACAAATGACTTAAAAAAACTCAGCGGAGATATTGTTTCTCATTGGCTGTTTTCATTTTTATTGTAAGCATTAATATTTAATAAAAAACTATTAATTAAAACTACAAACCTAACTTAATTCCCTCATGTTGTCCCACCACAAATCGATTGTGGAACCCAGCAGTTTTAACAGTGTAAAATGTGTTTGATTTGTTTCACTTCTCTGCAATTTGGATATTGCACATACTATTATCTCGATAACAGTATTTTCCGATACATCGTGCAAGCCCTAATTGCAATATCTTTAAGTATTGTCTTCAAGTAGAAAGAGAGAGTTAAGAGCAAAGTGTCAGAGCAAGTGCCAGTGTTTTGCGGTGGCCCAGATCGATGAGCAGCTCTTGAAAGTGTGCCAGTGACTGTTGGCACACTGAAATGAATGAGGAAATGAGAAATATTATTTGTTCCAGGCACCGATTCTTTATCCTGAACACCTTATTGCTGCTTTACAAGCCTGTGAGACCAGAGGGCTTTTCCAGAGAGGCTGTAGCTGCGAGACCTTGCAGGGACTACAATTCATTTTCAGTTCAGGCCATTTTAATGATGATGGAGAGTCTGAGGCCAGCTGTGAATGCCGGCATGCTTCAAGGTATGTCATCTTCACCACATGAATGCTTTCTAACTTCTTTTTTTCAAGAGCTCACAATTAGTTTATGATTGATAATAAAGTATGTTTGGCATGCTGTCCCGGGGGAGAGCCCTGAGCTCAATTGATCCTCGAGCCCTGGGCTCCCTCCTATTTTATCGGAAGAGAGGGGAGTCTAAGCCCAGGTAGGTCTCAAGAGCTCCACCAAATTTGTTTGTTCTGCCTATTGCTTGATTATTAGGGGTTGCCACAGCAGAATGAACCTCCAACTATACAGCATATGTCTATGCGGTGAATGCCCACTACTAAACACTCATATACTGTGCCAATTTGGTTTATTCAATCCAACAACAACAAAAATGTCAGATAGAACCTTATAATTCTAAGGTGACGACACACACACATTATATATATATATATATATATATATATATATATATATATATATATATATATATATATTTATATATATACACACACACACACACACACACACACAAACATATTTTATTTGCTCATCTTTTATGCGTTAATTTATTTAGCTGGAAACATAGCTAATGCCTACATTTCCGTCACACAAAGAACAAAGTCACGTACGAGAATGGCTTGTCCTTTTTTAATACACGATTAGCTTAAATTCACTGTCCTTCGACATGTGCTGTTACTAGATTAATGGGATTATTATTCGTTCTAAAACTATTGTTTAGTTATGCTTGCATTCAAAATGTCATATTAACCTCTCCCTGCTGAAAAATCCAGCTTAAACCAGCCTAGGCTGGTTGGCTGGTTTTAGCTGGTCGACCAGCCTGGTTTTAGAGGGTTTTTGACCACTTCCAGGCTGGTTTCCAGCCATTTCCAGCCTGGTCTTAGCTGGTCAGGCTGGAAAGTGACCAGCTAAAACCATCTAAAACAGCTTGACCATCCTGGTTTAGGCTGGACATAGCTGGTTTTGGCTGAGCTCCCAGCCTGGCTAGGCTGGTCAAGGCAGTTGTAGCTGGTCATCTCCCAGCCTGTCCAGCTTAAACCACGCTGGAAATGGCTGGAAACCAGCCTGGAAGTGGCCAAAACCCCTCTAAAACCAGCCTGGTTGACCAGCTAAAACCAGCCAACCAGCCTAGGCTGGTTTAAGCTGGATTTTTCAGCAGGGTACATTACTTTTTTATTATACTTAAATATTTAAATATTTTAGGTGTAAAAATACGCAATACTAACTTGAGCATCTGTTTTCCCATGCTTACTGTCTGTTCACTGATGCAGTGATGTTGCTTTTTAAAATATATGCTCATGTTTCCTATAACTTTGCATGAGCTGGTCAAGTAACGGTGATCTCTTTTTTTCAGATGTTGAAATGGTCACTCGTAATAAAAAAAAAAAAAAAAAAAAAAAATCTATATATATATATATATATATATATATATATATATTTTTTTTTAATTAATTAATTAATTAATTTATTTATTTTTATTTTTTTTTACCCTAAAAGGAGGTCAGCCCCCCTAAAATGAAAATCCTAAAATCGCCCCTGGTGGTAGCATTTTAAACATATCTAGTTTCGCAGAAGAAAAAAAGAGATCAAAATCAATAACATAAGAGATGGCTTAGCAATTTTTTATGTATGTACATACGTGAAATTTTGCTAACAGAATGCAGAGGTTACTATAAATTTAAGATCATTATTGGATTTGTTTTCATTGTAAAACAATAATTGAACTTTAACATATCAAAGACATACAGTATTTAGCTAAATCCTCCCAGAAATATCTTTGGATTATTTACATCACTTCCAGCCCCCATGACGTACTTCTCCTTATTTTGCTCCTGCAGTTTCTGGGAAAGTTCAGCAGATGTCAGTGCGGCTCCTGATGCCTCTCATTAGGATACTGTACATCCAAAGCATCATGTAAAAAAAGGCTCTAGTGCGACTGTCATCGCGTCATTAATCAAAGTGATGTGTAAGTGGATCATTTGCATAGGAAATTGTGATATATGGAGCGTGACACAAATGGATATGAATGGAACAGTAAATCAAAGAGATTCCATCAATTATAATTGGCCTCTTCTGGCTGTGACCCAAAGGTCTAGTGGTGACTGCTAACACACACACACACACACACACACGCTTATTCTTTCAAAAGCTTCTTACAGTGACATACACCGATAGACATATGCTGATATTCAATAATTCAATACACTGAGACAGGGAATATTGATGTTGTGGGTACTTCAAAATAATATAAATAACAATTTTTAGACATATGCTGGTATTTAATATTCAGTGTACAATGATAATGAATATCAATATTGTGGATGCTTCAAAATATTGTGATTAATTATTTTTATGTATATGTTGATATTTAATATTTCAATATATTGTGATAGTGAATATCGATAGTGTAGAGATGCTTAAAAATACTGTGAATAAAGATTTTTAGACATATGCCAATATTCGATATTTCAATATACCGTGATAATGAATATCGATATTGTGGATAGTTCAAAATATCGTCAATAGTTATTTTTAGTCATATGTTGATATTTAATATTTCAATATACCATGAAAATGAATATTGATATTGTGGATGCTTCAAAATATCGTCAATAATTATTTTTAGTCATATGTTGATATTTAATATTTTAATATACCGTGATAATGAATATTGATATTGTGGATGCTTCAAAATATCGTCAATAATTATTTTTATTCATATGTTGATATTTAATATTTTAATATACCGTGATAATGAATATTGATATTGTGGATGCTTCAAAATATCGTCAATAAT